TTTCCCAGACAGAGATGTGTGCGTGTGGACCTTGTTGTGGGTGTAGTATTGTTACAGCCAGAATGATCTAAGGGTGTAACTGAGGTACAGTTTGTATGGAGAGGTAATACCTCTTATTGCAACACCTGAGATAGCTGGGAAAAAAGAATTACATGAGCTTTTGAGCACAAGTATTGAGGTATCCCATCGCATTCCTGAAGATGAGGGTGAACCCAATGAGGATGCTGCCGTGGGGTGAGCCCCAGCATTGGGCTGGGAGCCATGAGGTGAGTGGGGTGGGAGGAAGCATGGTGTTGTGTGGAGGCTGAGCACTTCTTTTCAAAGCTGGAAACTCTGAAGAACATGATAGGGCCAGGAGAGAGCCCTCTGATGAGCAACACAGCTCGGGGACAGCACTTGTGCAGCTTAATGGAAAAGATGGGCCAGGAGAGAAGAGCTCATTAGAAAAGAGCACTGCCCAGTGAGGAGGGGAGAGGATATAAACCACAAGAAAGCTGCTAAAAGAGAGAAATGGAAATCTCTTAGTCTCAGAGAAAGCAAGGATGGAGTACATTAATGAGCTCCTTAATGGTGAGGCAAGTAAAGGTGAGCAGCAAATGGATATTTGCAGTTGGCCAAGCTTTGTGTGAAAAAAGAGGTGGTGGTGGTGGGCGAGAAGTGATGAGCACCTGGAGGACCCATGTCACTCACGTTCCCGTTGAGTTATTAAATAGTCGGACACATGCAAAGCCAGAGACTTGGCAGGCTCTTCAGATTGCTCTGCAGGGACAGAGGAGTTGCAGAGGGTGGGAAATGGGCTCTTTGCTGATAAAATCACTGGCGTGATGAAGCTCTGTATTTGCAGTGTCCAAGGGTCAGTGAGCCGGGCTCAGTGCAGGGCTGAGGGTCTCCTGCTTTCTGATGAACCCATGGCAGTCACCATGTGGCCATTGCAGAGCTCTCAAGGTAACATCTGGGTAACTCCTACCAACCTTGTGGTGATGGTAGTGGTCTGGCCAAGAGCACAGTGATACAAAGGAGACGTGAAAAAGAGGGACATGAGTTAATCCAAGTGAAGCCCAAGTGCTTCAAGGCGAGGTGAAGGCAACTTCACTGCCTTCTGGGCCTTGGGGCATTGGCTGGCAGCAGAGATTTGGTGCAGAAGGAAAGGAAAGGTGCTGTGCAGCTCTCCCGTAAGGAAGAATTTTATCTCTAGACAGGACCCATTCACAACAATTTTGTGGACGTGGAAAAGGCATCTGCAGAATACATTTGTTTATGGCTCTGGGGCTCTCAGCATCGTCCTACAGGGAGCAGCAGTGCCCTTGTGGAGAGGGAGTTCCATATGGTGGCTGTAGGTACAGGGTGGGCTGGGAGGAGGCAATAGGATGGGGACAACTGAAGTGTGAAAGCAGGGAGCAGAGAGCAGGGACGTGTGGGCACCAGAAGAGCTTTGGGGAAGCAGAAACCCTGGGAAGTGGTGGTGGAAATGTGAGCTCTGGCCAGAAAGGAGATTTCTAGGAGCGACTCAGAAGAGGCAACAGAACCCTCGGCTCCTTTTCTCTGTTTCATTGCCGCAGGGAAGCAACAGCTTGCTCTCACAAAACCCCTCTCCAGGCAGCTCTGTTCAATGCCATGGTTGGCCTCTCCAGGGCTGCCACCTGCGCAGCTGCTCCTGCCTGGATTGCCTCTCGCTGCCCTTCAGCTCTCTGCCTCCCTTTCTGTCCCTTCCCTTTGCTCTCTGCTGTTGCAGAGCCCAGGCTGACAGAGGTGGGGATGAGGACCTTTGTGCCCTTGGTGCTGTCACTAGCAGTGTGATCGTGTTCTGTGCAGGCTGCCAGCTCTCTGCTCGCCAGAGGACAGAGAAGGCTTTCCCTTGGCCTCCCTTCCTCTGCACTCTGACGTTGTGCCTTCTCCTTTCTGCTTGGTGAGGAGCCCTCCAGTTTCCTTGGATGGCATTGGGGCAGTGCTTTGGCCAAGCAGGGCATCATCTGTAGAAGCAGCTGGGGAACTACAGTGGTTGAACAGAAGGCAAAACAAGAAAAGCACCCAACAGCTGGCAGGTGGTGACATTTTCCCTGTGCTTTCAGAGCAGTCTGTAAAGTATGTGCCTCTGGGGAATGAGGAATGCCTTAAACAGAGCTTCCCAGGCCCCATGCTGCAGAACCCAAGTCAGTTCCTGCATAGGGCAGTGGCTTTGGGGGTAGTTGGATTCCTTCCCATTTCTTGCCTGGTTTATTTCAGTTCGTCCCTCAGCCTCTAACTCTGAGGGATGCAGACTGGGGCTGCCAGAACTGTAGCCTGTCGTGGAGGCATAAGGCTGGAGTGTGCTCTGTAGCACGACCAGTTTGCATCCCTCACCTGAGGAGCCCCCGAGCTCCATGGCATGCTCCACTGCAGAGGGCTCTGCATATGGAGGTACCTCCCCTCAGAGCCAGAATAATGTGGATATTTTCTAATCCTCTTTTTCTCTAGCTGCAGTTTGCATCTGGGAAGTGTTTAATTTTGAAAGGCCGGTGCTGCTGTATCACATATCCCGCATTGCTCTCTGTTGGTTTGTGACCAGGGAAATCCTGGTGTGAAAACAGAATTGGGCTTTGATTTCATCTGCCCCTGCTGTTTTATGCCACTAACAACTTTGCTTTCCTATAACAGCTTTTATTCTAGGAGCTAAACAGGCTTCACAGACAGGCAATTAATTAATTGAGCCTCCCCCAGTCTGTGCCCTCAGCACCAGAAGGAAGTGCTGTGCAGAGGAGAAAATAAAGGCAGAGAGGGGCAAAATGACTCCCCTGAATACAGGGAACCCTGCCACTATGTCCAGGACCCCTTCCTGCTGACCTCCTGCTCCTTCGGGAGGCACTGAGGGTTTCCAAAGGAAGCTATTTGAGGCTGCAGGTTTTGCTTTGGCACAGCTGGGATTTGGAGACTGACTTATGGGATGGGACCATGGAGGGGTGATGCTCAACTCCTTTCCACATCCTGCTCACAGATTGCACGTTGTGGGGAGATGTCAGGCACCTGGAGGAGGAGAAGAAATGTGTCTTTCCTTATGCAGAGTGAATGTATTCCTGGAGAAATTGCCTGCCTTTTATTACGAAACCCGGCTAATGGGTTGTTGTCTACACAAATAACCATGGGGAACGAACTCGTGCGCTTCCCAGCCTGCTCCATGTCTTCCCAGCTCAGCTCATTTCTGAACAAACACAACCTTTTGCAAGAATACCTGTCAAAATCACTTTGAAATATTGAAATAACAGGATGGGATGTAGTTTGCTGCTGGGCCCTAGTGCTCATTTGTCAGGACTAAGGAATTCCATCCAAAGAGACTTGTGAGCAGGATGCAGTGGAAAGGCCCTGGGAAGCAGCAGGGCTCTGAAGGGCTGTGTTTGGGATGTTTGTCACCTTGTTGGGCTTCCTTGCTGGGATCCCATGGGGGAGCAGTGTGCTCCCTGCTCCTAATCTGGCCCCTCGCTGCATCAGCTGTGGGATGAGGCGCAGGGTTTTGCCACACAGCTGGAGCCAATAATGGCAAAGTGGTGTACCTCTGCAGCATGGTCTGAATGCATCCCTCCTTCCACCACACTGAGTGAGTAGGGCATTGTCAGTGTGTATTTTAGAGATGGGGCAAAATGCTGTTGAGGCTTGGACAGGCATTGCAGCGGTTGAAGGGGATGCAGCTGCTTGGTTGGACACTGGACCTGGAGCACCATCCTCTTCTCTCCAGCCTTGGAGACCCCAGGGTGCCCATCTCCAAAGCCTCTCACAGCAATGGGAGGCCAGCTGGCCTGTGGGCAATGCCAGGGCTGCAGGCAGGAGGTGCTGTGCTCTCTGTCCAATGCTGCTGTAAGTTGGGGTTATCTGTGGGGAAATCCCTGTGTGTTGGGTGCTGGCGGTCTCAAGAGAGCGATGCAGGGCCCCCAGGCCCACTGTCGTTCTTTTCAATCTGGAGAATCTGTAAATGCTTAATGTCTTCTCCATTGGCAAAACCACTCCTCAATGCTGTCCTCCCCTGGACGGCAGAAGGAGGATTTCTGCACCACCTCCCTATGCTATGAGGAGAGATTATTGATACCTGCTGATTTTCAGGAGAAATCCCATTGCTTGTTGGCACCTGCTCAACAAAGAGCCTTTCCTTTCTCATCCCCTTTCCTGTTCCCACCATTCCCAGCAGTGACAATGTCCCACCTGGAATAGCGTGGCTGATTTGCTTTTCTGAGTATACGCAATTGGAAGTGATCAGAACTTGGACATAGACAGTGGTTGGGAGAAACCAAAACCATAGAAATACCCAAACACTCCCTGCCCCCACCAAAAATATCTCCTCCATCAACCAACCAATGAACCAACCAACCAACCAACAAAAAAAAGTCCTTCAATCCAAACTCCATCTCTTTCTCTAAAATCCATGATTAAAACCTGGTACAAACATGTGAATATAGATATATATATATATATTTTTAGTAGATGTAGTATTGTTTTTTTTTTCTCCTCTCTCTTTCTCATTATACAGCAAACATTGCAAATATAGAAATTTTCTCTGTACAATTAACGACTTCGGTTTACAATGCAATGTGTGGTAAAACCTCTCAGTGAGTGAAAATGTGAACGGGCCTTCAACCGGGTGAAAGTCTAAACTGGAAGACTCCGTTTGCAAAAACAGCCCAAAGGACGGATCTCCTCCTGGTCTCTTTTTGGTTTTTGTTGCTGTTTTTGTTGCTGTTGATTTTTGGAAGGGTAGGAAGAAAGAACACAAACTGTTCACAAAGAATCCACAAAATCACGGAATAGGGACTCATGCAATGCAGTACTGGGGAACGCCAGACCTCCGCTCTCTGCCCGCTCCTTTCTCTTTCTTTTCGTATTTGATTTTTTCTTTTTTTCTTTTTTTTTTCACTCCACAGTTTGTTTTGTAAAGTTTGTGTTCAAATTTGGTGTGCGTCCCACCAATGTGAGGACATTTTAATATCTCGCTTTATATATTATATAGAATATTTATAGATTTTTCATAATTTGTTCTCTATTTTTATTGTTTTGTTTATCATCATTATTTTTGTTTGCTTGCTTGTTTGTTTCAAAGACAGTCTGAATAAAAATAGCTGCTGCGGATTTCTTTTGGTCCAGTTACTTTAAGTCACGAGTTGTGTGAGGACTCAGGACTTTTGCTGGGCAGAGACGCCCTTCCAGTAGTCTAAGATGTCGTGAAGATCCTCGTCTTTGGCAAACTGGACCTTTTTGCGCAGGGCATGGCCGGCTGCCATATATTCCTCCTCATCTTTGTGCCGCTTGCGGTTGAGTTTGAAGCGTTCCCAGATGCTGTGCGATGGTTTGCAGGTGTACTCTGGGCTGGAGGTGTAGCTCAGGTTGTGGTATTGCGGCGAGAGCTGGGAATAGGCCAGGTCTCTGGGGCGAGGCCGGGTCAGAGGCTCCAGGATGGAAGGCTTTCGCCCCGCCATGCTGTCGTGCTGCTCCCCTTGGTGCGAGCCAGGGTACGAGTGCCGGTGTTCGCTGTACTGCCGGATCTTCTCCGCCTCCGCCCGCAGGATGGCTGCAGCCGGTGTCACAGTGAGGATGGTGTCGGTGGTGGGGGACGTCTTCTCGATGTATTTGGCTTCTGATTTGTGGCCCGACCCCTCGGAGCGGTAGGACCTGGGGCTCCGTATGGAGCCACTGGAAGAAGTGCTGGAGCGTTTGGGGGCTGCCTCCATGCTGTGGTGTCGCTGGAGGGGGTGGTTGTAGCTTTCCTTGTAGACAGGGGAAAGGAATCCGTGCTTGCTGGGGATCTGCTCTGATAAGAGCACCAGCTGAGGCTCCACTGTGGAGACTGCCCCCGATTTCACCCCTTGGAAGGAAGTGGACTCAGATTTCAAGGCATCGATGCAATTGTTGATTATCTGGTTCACCTTGTCCACCTCCTTGGCAATGGTGGAGATCTCAGCCACGGAGCTCTGGGTGTCTGGTGCCAGGGACAGCTCGCAGTCTCTCCTCTCAGGCTGCTCCCCCGTCCTCACCTCCATGTAGTTGCCCTTGGTGGCCTTGGGGGTCTCACTGCTGTCAATGAGCTTGTACTGCTCGACCTCACCAGCGGAAGGCAGATAGGGGATGCGGGTCACAGTCTCCCCGCCCAGCATCTGTCCCTGGGACAGCTGGGTGATGCTGGTGGTCTCCATTTCTGGCCCATACTTCAGCTCAATAATGGTCTTCTTCATGCCACTGGCAGCCTTTTTGTGCTTCTCCTCCTGCTGGCGTCTCTTTCGGAGACAGTAATAGACGACGCCCAGGACGATCACCATGCCAAAGAGACAGCCCAGGATTGTCATGATGTAATGAGTGGCAGTGGAAGGAGTGGGCACCGGCTCCTTGCGGTTGGGTCTGGTGGGCGTGATGGTGACACAGGTGTGGTTGTACTTGGAGTATTGGTGGACGGAGACCACACAGTAGGTGTAATCTCTTTGTGCTACTAGGTTGCTCACGGTGATGTTCTCCTCCTTCTTCCTGAGCTTGGTGATCATGGAGGAGAAGCCGTTTTCGAACTGGGAGAGGATATACATCTTGCTGAAGGGGTAGGGGATCTGCACGGTGAGGACGGCCGAGTTGTGGTTGAGGTGCTTCACCTGGATGTTCGGCCGCACCTCTGTCTCACCGATGGGCGTGAAGAGGGAGAACTGTGGGGTGGTGCCATCACCAGAGGAGCACTCCTCCTCGGAGCACGGGCTTTCGGAGGGCACTGTGGTCACTTGGTACCGGGGAGGGATAAAACGAGGGATCACAGTGTAGGAACCACCGGTGCAAAGGGAAGAGAGCATGCTCAGAGCATTGCGGTAGCCAGTCCGGCCTTGACCTAACAAGTAGTAGCCCGTGTAGTCTGGTGGGGAGTCGCACTGCATCCGGTCGTACGTGCGTGTCATGTTGGTGAAGGCCTCCAGCCATTGCAGGAAGCCAAGGAGCTCGCAGGAGCAGTAGAAGGGGTTGCTGTAGAGTTCACAGACAGAGAGCTTGTTTAAGCCTCTAAAAGTGTTGCTGTCAAGTCTCTGGATCCTGTTCATGGACAGGTCAATGTTCACTATGTTGGGACACTCCCAGAAGGCATTGGGGGTGACGGACTCGATGAGGTTGGCCTGGAGATAGAGGTACTCCAGCTTCCCCAGGCCCCGGAGGATGCCCTCGGTGAGGTTCCTCAGGCGGTTGTAACCCAGCTGCAGCACCTGGAGGTTGAACTGTCCTGAAAAGGCACCGTCCTCGATGTAGGAGATCTCGTTCTTCGTCAGGTTGAGGTATGTCAGGTTGCCGAAGCGGCTGAGCGAGGCGTACTGCACGCTCTTGATCTTGTTGTCGTTCAGCCGCAAGTCCACGATGGTGCTGTTGATTTGCTGGGGGATGGACTCGTAGGGAGGCTGGTTTTGGCTGCAGATGGCCAGCCAGACAAAACCCTTGTCCCCCTCGATGAGCCAGCAGTCTGCCCGCACCCCGCCAGCGTGCAGGAGAGAGACGGCTGCCACACACATGCAGAAGGCTGACGTCGCAGCCCACCGGCGACCTGCCATCTGGAAGGGTGGCATGGAGAAGGGGATCCTGGTCTGCTGGAAGCAGGGGAAGAGGCAGGGGCCGGGAAGACGTGGGTTAGAGCTCCTTCGGCAGCTTTGTTCTTCTCTCTCTTCTCCTCATGGCTTGGAGCTGCGGGGGGAAGTGTCCGTGGTGAATGTGGACCTTGGTGCCCAAGGGGCTCGGCAGCCACCGGCCGGGGGCTGCTCTCAAGGCCTGGGTGGCTGAGGTTGGTCCTGCATCACCAGGTCTCTGGCATTTTGGGAAGGGAGTCATGAATTTGGATGCCCGTGCCAAGGAGTATCTTTGGCTCAGAGACAAGCCTTCCTCTCACTTTTTATAGTACATCTCCTTGTTCTCTTTCTGCTGCCCATCATGATGCTGGTCCCCATCTTCACGTGCCTCCGTGGGGCTGGCTGTCCTTGCTTGGTTCCTCAGTTCACCTGTTCAAAACAAAACAAAATGCAAGCTGAACATGAAGACAGACAATTCATGCTTAGCCGTGCACCCAGCTACCCTCCGTAATGTTAGGTGCTTGCCTTCTAAATCTGGCTGCCAGCATGCCAGGGGTCTTTTGCTAATTTGGGCACAGCCTACAGTGTTTGGCATCACTAAGGCAGGTGGCCATCAACTGCAGACATCATCCTCCTTTGAGTGCATTGTCCAGCATTACATTTTAGGCAGGGGAGAGAACAACGTGCATCCAGGGCAACATTCGTCTGACCTATTTAAGTGTCTACCTTCAGAGGAGAGGAGTGGTGCCCCAGAAGTGTCTGTTCCTCTCTGCTGAGAGCAGATGAAGTCTAGACAACTCACTCTGATGTAGATTTGATGCTGCAATGTTTTGCTGAGGGGAATCCTGACTGTCTCGCATGCTGGTGTGTGCAGTGGCAGTGCCCACTGAGGGGGATGCTGATTGAGGACACTGTGTCTTCCTGACTGCATTGCTGTGTAGCATCTGGGATAAAGCCCAGCATCAAGCACCTGTACCTGTTTCTGGGAACCTGAACAGTAGTTTCAGGACACTCCTTGACTACAAGACACATTAAGTTGATTGACATTATCCCATTTCCTTGTCCGTTGTTGGGGCTTACTGCCTGTCTCCAGGACCTATCTCTCCCTCCTGAGTAAAATAATGCAGAGGTGTGGAGGACCCTCAAACTTTCAGTGTATAATATGAATATTTGCAGAAGAAGAGACAAGACCTTCCCTCCCCAGACAAAAACAGCCACTGGAGAACGAGTAAGAATCTTCACTGGACATGCACCAATGAGGAAAGAAGCCTATGAGGCCAGCAACCTCACTTACCAATGAAAAACTCATTCCTGGCTCACATTTTCCATTGAATTATTCCTGCATTTTTCCACTAAATATAAATATCCATTAGAAACATGACAGCGTGATTGAATTTCCATTACATGACTAGCAAGACCAGCTCTCACATCAGCTCTTACATCAGCTTCAAATCCTTAGAGCCAGCGAGGAAGGGGAGGAGGACTGTTTACCTCACTGATTGAGAGACATGGGCAGCAGTGCTGGGCTGAGAGCCATCTGCCATCACATCCCTCCCAGAACTGGGCAACTCAGCTAATCTCTCTGCTCTCCAATCTCCTCTTCGGTACCACGAGATAATGATGATGCATCACAGGACTGCAGGAGACTGAATGAGAGTGCCCCAAGTTCCTCTTGCTGGGATGGAAGTCCCAGCAGATGCATTGCTCTCTCCAGCTGGGAGCAAGAGCTCTGGATGTTTCCACTGTTCTCTGCCACAGGGGCCAGCCTGGTCTCCAGCTCCTCTGACTGCATCCCATGAGGTGAATGTTGCCTGTAAAGATGCTGGAGAAGGGCAGAGATGGATAGTCCTGGTCTATTGAGCTATCAGAAATGGATTGCCACAGTGTCCCCTGAGGATAGTGCTTTCTTGGCATCTTGGCATATTCTCTTCAGGAGGCACTCATTCTGTCCCTTCTAACTCCCATTTTGACTCAACCAAAAGCTGCCTTTCCAAGCTGGTGTTTGGAATTGCTCTGCCAAGACAAACCAGCCTTTTCCATGTTGTGTCGCTGGGGAAGCTACAGCCCGCGGCCCATTGGAAGGCATGAGCTAATGGACCAGGATCATCCTGTGAGCAAAGAGCAGAGACAAGACCTTCCATGCACCTTGCCAGGCAGGCCCTCATAGCCTTCTCAACATCCACGTGCCCTTTCCATCTAATTGGAGGTGTCTGGGATGAGGAAGAGTGGCCGTGACTCAAACACATTCAATAAGGCTCCTGCTGTGTTTTCTCTTCTTTCCTGTATACTGCCTATCAGACAAGTCCTTTCCAACAACAGAAAGGAGGAAAGACATTTTATCAGCAGCCCGAGTTTAATTTCAGCTCATTAAAGCAAGCAATTTGCTGGTTTATTTGCTTTGCAAAGTGTGAATAAAATGACGGCATTAAGGAGATGTAAGAGGGGCTAATCTCCCTTTTTATTAGATTGCTGGGACAAAACTGGGGAGTGGAGAAGTGGTCTTGTTGCTTTACACAGAGGAGATAATTGTTCATCTTGTTGGTTTCTGAAACAACTCCTTCCCAGCATTGTGGGTGTGTGTGGGTGTGCACCTGCGTGTGTGCAACGTCAGCCAGATGTGAGCATCCCACGAGGCAGGATGGATGGGAGTGGGGGTTCCCAGCTCGTATCCCCCTACCAGCAGGGGAGAGGGGGAGAGGCCTCCCCCCATCTTCTCCACAGACTGGAGAAAAATCATAAAGGAAAGCTGAGGTTTTAGGTTCTCCTGCCTGCTCGATTTGTCTTTGCCCAGCTGTTCTGGCTTTATTCTCCTGGTAACCCAGTGACACACCATTTATCCCAGTCGTCAGACCATCCACGGAGCTGCCTGGGAAAACCTGGAGACAAACTTAGGACTTTGAAGTGAAATAGCAACAGGAAAGTAGAGATTTGGGGAGTTCATCATTACTGGTTATGAAAGAAGGAAAAGAGAGGAATGTAGCTGGTAGGGAACAACAGGAGTAGATTTGAAATAACTAAAAATACGCTGGAGAGATGCTGTATCCTGGCCCCATGCTGGCACTGACTGCAGTACGTACCCACTGGGATGCCCTGCAGCTGTATCAAGAGTCACCTGTGCACTGCAGACACTGCTGTGCTTTTCCTTTTGCTTTCACAGGGCAGCACTGTGGCTCTGGCCAGCCGAGATGATGTCAGGCTTACATGGCCAGCATGTGGGCAGTGAGAACTTCTTTGCTCCTAGCTGCTCCTACACATCTCTGATCTGCAGTACCTCTACCGGAGCCCAGATCTGTGATTTGCCTTGCTGACCCCCAGCTCTGCCCCATGATGCTCTCCTGCAGTACCCTCCCGTGTTTCTCCAACTCAGTAGCATAAGTTTGTGATGTCCGTGAAGCTGCAGCCTGCACAGGATGAATAGCAACAACCCAATCCTGGCTGAAATATACAGCAAAGGAAGGAATAAAGCAAAGCTGTGATTCCAAAAACCGGTGCAGGCTGGCTGGTAAGTTTTTGCTTCCATCTCCCAACTAATGGCATCTCAGTAAATTAAACCGGAGCAGCAGCTGCAAGGAAGCAAACAAAGCAGCCGTGGGGGCTGGGTTGAGGGAAGGCGAGCCGGGCTGCACATATAATGCCACCCTGGCACTCAATTCCTATTTTTGTTATTCTACTGAATGAGTTATTTCAAATTGTGGATTAGATTTACTGAGAGAAGGCAAAGAGCCAGATTAACATGTGTGCGTGTGCGTGCGTGTGCACACATACACACCACCGTGCTCCCCTCCTTGGCAAGTCTGCGTCTCCCATAACTTCATTCTCCCCAGCTGCTCCATCTCCATCTGGCCACGTTTCAGCGCCTCTTAGATCTTCTTTCACAGTCACTCAGGTCATTTTCTCAGTAAATGAAGGAGCCCCGCTACAAAGAGAGACATAGCGAAATGGGAGCGATACATTACAAACGATAAATGTTTAATCACCCAAAGAGGTGGGGAGGGAAAATTTGGCTAACAGGCACCAAACGTTAAAATGAACCTTGGCTCTTCATTATGTGTAAAATAATCCAAGAAGACAGCTCTAGGATGGTGGAGAAAACATTTATTAGTGATGAAGGTTCCCCTAAATGGCTTGACGTCCATTCTGTTTGCGTCAGGTGCAGAGTGGAGGCTTCCAGGCAGGTTTCTCTGCTCATTCGTATTCCTGGCGTTTGCTACATGCCTCCTGCCGGGTGATGGTGGTTAGCATCACCGTGCTGAATAATAAAGATGTCCAGGCCTGTAAAACCCAAGTTCGTCTTCCATCCAGAGGCCCCGGGACTAATATTGTCTCCACAGATAGGGTTTAGGCAGCACATTGTGCATCCCAACCTTATTCCCAGACACCTCGCAGAGTTAGATAATAGAGCTCTCCAGTCAATTGTTCTCTCTTCTGCTAGTATTTATTATTTAAGAAAAATAGACAAGGGAGAAGAGAGAGATTTTTTTTCCACTGGGGTTTGGAGGAAGATGAAGATGGAATAAAGAAAAGAGGTAAAGGAGGGCTGAGAAAGAGGTACCCAACATCACATACAGGACAACATTTAACGAGACCTGGTGAGGTCATGGGCTAGATAGCAAATAGCCAGGTGGGAAGGATGGGGAACGGAGCACTTTCTGGGTGTAGGTTGGGGAAAACAAATGTAAATCCCACACTTTGTGTCTATACAGGAAGGGAAACCCCTCTGCTGGGTCACAGCTCCTGCTGTGACTTGCTTTGGGAACAGCCCCTGCTGCTGCCTGGCATGGGCTTCCATAGGAGACAGCTGACTCTGCAGCTGATTGTGTGGGAAGATCGTCAGCAAAATGGATTTCTGGTAAAAAAAAATGCACTTTCTGCAAAATCAGACCTTTGGCTGAAAAGCAGTGGTCCTTCTTGGAGTTTTTCCATTGTGATACTTGATTTGGGGCCAGTTTAACTGCTAACTGTGAGCACTGTGTGTGTCTGATGGCTGCCGTAGTTCGAAGCTGTTGTGCCTGCACCCCTGCACTGGTTGCCCTGAGGCCAGCACTGCCATCTGGAAGTGGTCAAATCGAGCCCCTTCATCTGAACATAGAACAAAAGGAAACTCTTCTGTTCAATGGCAGAGCAAATGGGTTAAAGTGACAATGTTTTCAAGGCAGGGCACATCTTAGGACTTTGGGAAAGATGGATAATCTGCTTTTCATTCAGCTGTAGTCCGAAGTCATTTGCATCCATCTCAGGCTGCTTAGCTTCCAGGGTCTATTGAGATGACAACCCTATCTCATACTGCTGTGGGCCACTGAGCAAAATTCTCTGCTGAGTTTAAGTAAATGCATAAATGATCTTCCTGGTGAACAACCTCTTAAGCCCAGCTGGTTACCTGTGCATTAAAGCAGCCTTCTGAAATATCAGCACGGGCGGACGAAATGTCAGCCCCAGCCTGTGACAGCACGGTTGATCCCTCAAAGAGCCAAGGAGAGCAATTAGAGGGGAAAAGTTGGAGGGAGGTGAAGAGGAAAGAGATTTTAGGGGATGGAGAGAACTGAGAGCTCTAATCAGGTAGAACAGTCGTAATAAGGAAAGTGTGTTTCTGTGGGAGAGCGTATTTACTTAGGTTTTCTCTCGAAATAATCAGCCTGAATCACAGCTTTATTATGCGATAGGTGTGGTGACGTTAGACTGGGAAAACAGAATGCTGGTGTGGAAGCAGGACTCCCATTTCCCTTCAGTAAATAGTGCTGAGGATCAAAGAGTGCTTTTCCAGAGCTGATACAATGGGGGGAGCCTGCCCTGCATGGGGAGGTGATGCTACTGGTGTCCCTCCATGCCGACAAGCTGAACCGTGCCTCGTCCCTGCATTGTCATCCTCGCTCAGATCTTTGCTGCTGTGTGAAAGAGGGTTTTACTGCTTTCTTTCATTACTTTATTTTTCCAGGAAGCTCACATAACCCTTTGTGTCCCAGGCAGGAACAGCCACTTTTATGGAGAATGGAGTCCGGTGGTGGATCCGTGAAAGGATTTGCTTGTTAAAATGACTTCCAGGGGGGCTTGCTATGACTGTTGGTATTGTTTAGGTTGTATTTTTAAAAGCATTCTTCCCTTTCTGTCCCTCTTTTCCCCTGTGAAGGGCCTCATGCCAAAACCATGGGTCTCTGGGCAGTGCCCAGCCCAGCAGCAGCTTCCAGGCAGACAGTGCTGCTGAGTTTTGACAGATGGACAAGAAAACGTGCTGCACACACAGGACGTCATGCTGACAGCCTGTTCTAATCCCCTGGTAGGTACACAGAACCTCACCTTTCCATCTGTATTAAAAGAGTTAAGATGTATGTTAACTCTTTAGGTTGAGCCCAGGCAGCAAATAGGGGATGGAGCTCTGCTTCCCATGAAGCAGATGGAAGTCTGTCTGCACATGGGAATTGCCATGGCTGTGCTATAAGCAAACACCTCTGTTCACCTCACGTTATCTTGTTCACCTTAAAGTTGGTTCTGCCTCTCCTGTTGGGTGCCTAGGGCTGAACCCTCTGGCTGTCTGCTTTTGGAAGGGGGACTGTGCCCAGATATAGCAGCATCTGGCAAGACCCAGTGCCCTACAGGCCTAATTTTAGCTCCCTGCTGCAGGCTGGCTTCCTGTCGTGGGCCAGGAGGAGGTTAATGATCATCTGGGCAGCTCTCCAAATCCAATGTAATGTTTATTCAGGATAACAGCATTGCAGAGCAGACCAAGCATGACCCTTTTCCACACACATCTTACCTGGCATGGCCCTGCTTCTGCACATGGAGCAGCTCAGGTCTGTCAGCTCTTGGAGGATGGACTCTCTTCTCCTTCCCTAGATCAAAATAGGTCCTGTACAACCCTGTCCATGTGTTCACCTCCTAAACCAAACAGATGCTATATTTCTAGACAAAAGCTCTGTAATAGGTTGCAGATCTATGATGGTAATGGAAATAGATGCTCAAACAACCCCCTGCTAAAACTTTGCAGGATGCTCCTCACCTGATCCCTTTGGCCAGGAATCACTGGAAACAGACTGCAAATAACATCCTGGATACCATTGCTCTAGAACAGTCCACCTCTCTGAGGCACCACCTTGTTTTGCACATGCCATGGACAAGATTATATGTTAGAATTAGCATTTAGGGGAGACAGGAATGGTTTAGAGGCCACATAGGTAGTTTGGTCTGATGTGGCTAAAATCAATTAACTTCATATATAATGCTGCCAAGGGCAAAAGGCAAACCCTACTGACCAAAGAGCATTTCATAAGTGCACTGCATGTGTTCATCTGGCAGTCCAAGCACAAATTCCCCTGCCACAATCACCTCACTTTGCAGGAAGGCAGGGCGTTCAGCTTCACTGCACCCCACAGTGCTTGGAGGAGCTGGAGCCAAGGGATATGTGTTTGGTGGGCCTGTATGTTCCACATGTGTGCACAGCTGGTTTTGGGATCTGAGAGGTTGCAGATTGACATATGAGGTGAGGAGGGATGGCAGGTAGCAGTAGCCATACCCTCTGACAGAGGGCAGAGCTCATGGGATGTGTTTATTCACCTCAGCTGTTGTTTATTCATCTCAGCTGCTGTTGAAGAGCTTAATTTCAGCCATGAACTTACAGCATTTTCTTCCCTACAGTGCAGCCCCTGCAGTTACTGTGCCATCCTTTTGACACAACATGAGCAGACATGCAATGGACTCAGTCCCAGGGATCCCCCATGCCAGCACACAGTGAGTATGCTGTTTGCTTGGGGCTGTACGTGGGCTCCCCTCAGGGTTCTGTGAAGGGTTTGGGTATGAGCCATAAGACCTGGGGGCTTGGGATGTGCTGGGGGAATGCTTCTCTTCTAGCAACAAGCGCTTGCAGATGCATGTGGCCAACAGTGGAGCCTTTGTTGCTTCCCTGGGGGTGTAGAAAAGACTTGAACGTGTTGCCAAAAGTGTTTTCTGAGAGCTCTGAGTTGCTGGTGCTGGCTTCACTGATAGCTGAAAAACAGTAGCACATGCAGGCTTCCCAGGCACGCTCCAAGAGGCACCATGAGAACACCAATTTAACAGGGTCCCTGGAGAGTGCTAGGATGTGCTTCCTCCTACCTGAAATGCTCAGGAAGATGGCTGGGCAGCCAGATGGCTGTATTCGTGTGGAGCTGTTATTAATGTTTCATCTGATTGTGTTTCCAACATGGTTAATGCGACTTCTAGGTTCCCCCAGCAGGTTTGTGTTAAATCTAAACAGAACAATGATCAGCTCTACTGGGGGCTTGACTGGTGAAACTGGGAGTTAGCTGATCTGCTGCTGAAGTGTGCCCATGCACTCATGGGAATAAGCAAAGCCTGTGGGTGTCTGTAGAGGATGCTCAGCCACAGGCAAGAGTGACCACTGGGTCTCCTATGTGGTGTCAGCAGGCCTAGAACCCAACAAATGGCCTTACCCAAAAATGTATAGGTAGAGGCAGAGAATCTTGGGGAAATAAGTTGTGTATATAAGCTGTGCTCCAAAGAGATGCTGTTGTGGTTTGACCACAGTTAATGCCTCTCTGCTGGTGGAGGGGCAGCAGAAGAAGCTGTTGGTGCGTTGGCATGGGCTTCTGGTGTGTGAAAGCCCACAGCATCATATCTGCTCCTCAGCAGTGTCTGTGGTCTCTGGGCCACTGCATGTTCCCTGCTCATTTGTAGACCTACAAAAGATGTGATGAGTGGAAAGGGAAACTTCAGAGAGTGCAAGACAATAGAAGCAGGGAGCTCTGCCAAGACTTGGATTGCCTGTCCTTTTCATAAACATTTCATGTGGAGGTTACCCGAGTTGAAAAAACAAGTGAACCCAGAACACCCACCCTCTCTGGAGGAATTGAGTTTATCGTTAATAATCTACTGCTAAAAGGGTAACATCTGTTTTGGACAAACTGTAATGAGATTTAAACCCCAGGTGGAGGGAGGACTTCACAGTAATAAATGACTTTCTGTATGTCTAAATAGTTTTAATTTTTTTTTTCTGGCAGAAATGGCTGCTTTTCACCTCAGGCTTCTTTTTGCCAGCTCTTTTTGTTTAATGATTGCTATTAATTTCCAGCGTGGCAGATGGATTCTAGCCTGGTGTAGTCTGAAATGAGGAAAAACAGCCCAGGAAGGTGTGAGCTTGCCATGAATGTGAGCATGGGTCACATGTGTCTTGGTGGGATGCCACGTGTGTTTGCTTTCCAGGGGAACTATTGTTTCTTGGTAGCTGCTCCCATCCCCAGGATCCTCAAGCATCTCTCCCTTTCCTTTAGATAGGAAAGGGAATTGGCTCTCTTGGTCACTGCTGGTAGCGCTGCTGGTTTAGACCTTGAAACATCAAAGCTGCTGATTTCAGCAAGGCTTTAGGAGGAATTCAAAGCAGCACTTAAGCACTTAATTTTTTTGCTAAATCTAAGCTGAAGTGAGCTGGAGAGCAACACGTGGTCCCCAAAACATGGGAAGGAGCTCACTGCCTTGGTTGGGTGATGCCCGTGGCTGCTGCTGCCAGAGGATGGGGATTCCTCCTTGGGCATGAAATGCAGGCTTCAGTGCTTTTCCCACGTAGCTCTGATTTGTATGGTATGGGATGCTCCAAATGGGAAATCCTCTGAAGGTGGAGACAGGTGGCTGCTGTTAAATCCAGTGGCCCATGTTGCAAGTTCCTAGTGCCCAAAAAGGCATTTTCTCAGACTTTCTGACACCATCTCCTCAAGGAGAAGCCTGATGAAGAGCTAATGCCAATTAGTGCGTCAGTGTGCTGATGTGTCCTGCCTGCCCTTTCCCGTGTTGAAGGAGCATGCCCAGGATCTGGGCATGCAGGGTGGCTGGGGGAAGACCACAAAAAGAAGCTGGTGATGGACCACCACGTGGCGGTGCTCCAGGATGGGAGGATGGGGGAAGGAGGGAGGGTTTCTACTGCTTGGGGTGAGCCCCAGTGATAGAGGGAAGGGCGTAGAGATAGAAAGTGTAGCATCTCAGGTGATGCAGATAATCTCCCTTAATCTCCTGCTCAAAATAACCCAAAGTCAAGTAAAGGAGGGATTATATGGCCTAAGCCACTGTTATCGCCAGGGTGTAACAGACTTAGGTTGCATCTGAAGGGCTGCCAAGGAGGAAGAGGAGTGCAGCAAATGTCGGCCTGTTGGCAGTGCCTCAGTGTGAGGGTGTCTGGGGAGGCTGGGGACCCTCCTGGGACAGTCCAAAGAGAGCAGGGCTGCAGGAGAGGTGGCTGCCTGCAGCCTCAGAGGCCTGTGTGGGGACCTGGTCCAAGGTGTGTCCAACTGCATGGAGATGATGCAGTCTTTTACACCTTGGCATTGGTAATAGGTTTATTCTTAGCATGGGAGTCAAAGTACTTCTTACCTGTTAATTATTCTAATGGGAGAAGCCATCTGACTCAGCTCTACAGCTGAGAAAATGAGCCCCTGAAGAGGTAAACAGCCCATCAGGTGCTGGAGCAAGGTGGGCAGTCCTTGCTCTCCCATCATCCAACTCCATCATTTCTATTTTTAAAGGAATTTGCCTTACACACCCTTGGCTGCACGCTCATGGTAGCCATGAGGCACTTGTGAGCTGAAGGCATCTCCTACCCTTTGCTAGAAAGTCACATCCAGGCTCAGCTGCTGCCAGCAAGGGCTGAGTTGCAGAGCCCTGTCCATCAGCTCCTGGTGATGCCTATGAGATAGCAGCACAGAGACAGTGTGAAGTGGCATTGCCCTGGGGAGGGAGCGGAGTGTGTTCATTTTAATGAGCTTGTCCATGCCTAAAGGAGAGAGAAAGCGAGAGAGGCCAACCTGGTTTAATAAACTCCAGCATGCAGATTTAATCAGATGGATCATTGTTCCTTGCACAGGGATGAATATATTAAAAAAAAAAAAAATTCAAATTTCTTCCCCTTTGTTTTTCATTTGTATTGTATGCTATGGTGTGATAAAACATCCTAGGGCCAGCTCGCAAGCCAATAACAGAGATGGTGGAGGAGAGGAAGGTGCTGATCTATTTGAGCAGGAGGGGTGAGGCTGGGCTCACAGTGAGGGCTACAGCACGTTCAGCCCTAGGGAAGATGTGTGTCTGGGCTATGAGCTACCATCAGCACCTTTTCAGACCTCCAGCCCTAAATTCCAGCAGTGCAGTAAGGTTGCAGCTTGAGGTATGAATGTTAGGAGCTACCTGGTGCTAAAAGCCATCCCTTGGGCAAACCTGACATCTGCACCCTGCTGTGCCACCCCATGCTCCTGCCCTTGCAGAATGGTGGCCCTGTGTGCAGCACAAAGCAGTATGCAGTGTAAGGCTGTGTCAGTGCATGCACTGGGAGGACATGGCCGTGGCTTATGGGTGTCTTGCCCTGTGGGTGTGCACAAAGCCAGCTTAGACCAAAGAGTATTCGGTGCTAAATGCTGGTTAGACTACCTGAAGCTGTGTATCACCTGCCTTTGGGAAGATTGCCCTAAAGTGCAGCATTGACCCGTCCATGAAAATGTCACCTCCGGCCATTTGGTGTTAAAAATTAAAAACTTTGCCTTCTGGCACACCCCCACGTTACTGCTTCATTACTTTATCCATTCCTGGGTATGAGCGCTAATAAATAATCCCACTTCCATTCCTACTGTTGTTTAAGTGGTCATTAATTGTGGTTTATATGCTGTCTTTGTATATTTGTGTACGACAGCTTCTTCATGATTCCTTGATTAACCGTGATTGATTGCGTATTTTAAAATCAATTAAAAGTTTTGCCACTGCAAGGTAGAGTCTTTAGCAGTAATGCTCCAAGACGTTGCCATTTATAATGGAGCTACTGTATTGCTGGCTTTCATTAGTGTGGCACACAGTGATCTTTTTTGTCTGGATCTGTGCGAACGTGTATAAGTGAGCGTGCACACACTTGTGGGTTTTTTTGAGTGAGTTATAGCTGGAAAAGAGGGGGTGGTTTCTCTCAAGGTTCTGGACCACATAGGGTGGGTTGGTTTCATGGCCAGCCAGGTACCACCAACTCCCTTCCCTAAGAGCTCAGTGCAAGTCTTGAGTCCCACAATGCAAAATTTCTGTACTGGCTTGAAAGCACTGTGCCTTAGCCAGCTCCTCTTTACCAATTAGATAGCTGCCAGTGTGCTCAGCTGAATGGGGCCACCGAGAGTGGTGTGCATCCTTCTGAACTGCTGTTTCAGGGAGAGAGTCTGTGCCTTGTGGGGGTGCATAACTGTGCAGGTATATGGTTGTGGTAGTGATACAATGCTGATGTGATGGAGGAGGAGATGTGGCTGCTGCTCAGGCATCAGGGCATGTGCTGGAGCACAGATCTCTCTGCTTCGTAACACCAGTGCTGGTATTATATCAGTCCTCAGCTCATCATACTGCTGCTGAGCTGGGAGAATGTGTCCAGCACCAGAGCAGGAGGAGATGAGGTTAACACTGCTTTCTTCATGCTCTGTGCCTTCTCCTGTAAATCTCAATCCAGCACGCATGCCTCTGCCCAATGCATTGAATCAGGGGCGAGGACACCATGTAGATCTTGCACAGCTTCTTGGATGTGGGAAGAACCAAAATCTCTGGGGGGAAGTAGGGCCCTATTTACTGATTTCCCCTCTGCCCCTTTTTTCCCCCAGCATCCCAGCTGCACCCAGGAGTGCCAGTGAGGGGAAATCACCAATCTAGTTAACTGATGGGGGAAGTGCTCTGTGCAAGCCCTGGAATGGGATGGTTCTGTCGTATTAACTCTCCTCCTCGCGTTGATGTTAATGAAATAAAGAAATATGATGGTTCCAGACTTTTAAATTTCTTATAGCTCCATTTGCATAATGGCCACTGCTACCCTGAACAGGAACTGATCTGTCGAAAAATATTGTTCCAGCCCTCTATCATTCAGCTCAATGGAAGGCGCAGATTGGCCCACAGGGGCTGTTTTTTGCTGATGGAATGGAGTATGCCTCGCGCCGAACATAAAAAGCTAAAATTAGGACTCAATTCAATATTGTAAAAAAGAAATTGGTTAAAAGTTATAGATCAATAACTGTTAACGTGACTCTATTTTTCAGGCGGGTCATGTTTACTGCTGCTGGTGATGTGGGGATGGCTCCTTCCCACCTGCTGAAGACACTCTCCTGTCCCTTCGGAGCAGTCTGTTGTGGCTCAGCTGTCCTGAGCGGCCCTGTGAGCTTTGCTGCAAGCTCTGGAGTTTGTCATGAATGTTTGCTGCGCTGTGGAAGGCCGGGCTTGGCTGCACCCAGCTCCAGGACTCTTCTCCACCTTCCTGCGTGACGCTTGGCATCGAGCAGTGAGTGATGCTGGCAGCGTCCCTCTGAGATGGAGGACCATGCCTCACACCTCAGTGCCCCAGATTCCCAGACCTCAATGCCCTAGAGCAACTCTTCTTGATGCCCTTGATAACTGCCCTCTGCTCTTCCATGCCCTCTATCTCTGCTTCTTACTTACCTACATCTCAGCTCCTTGATTACCAACATCTTTGCTCCTCCATGCTCTGTGTCTCTGCTTCTCCTCATCCTGGCTCTCTGTTCCGTGATGATCTAGATCTCTGCTCTTTGATGCCCTAGATTTACACTTATCAGTGCCCTAGATCTCTGCCTGCTGCAACGACTGCTCCTCTCCCAGCAGACGATTCCTGCACTACTTCCACCAATTTGAGAGTAACTGGATGCTTTCGCCCCCTGGGTCTTGGTCTTGGTGTGTTTGTCCTGTCCGTTACAGCAAGGTAAGCATCTCTTTCCCCCATTGTGTGTATTTAAACCAGGGTGCCCGCAAGCAAAAACTGTATCTCTCAGCAGCATTGTGTGTTTAGGGTGCATAGACCCAGATAACAGGGATGGGGAGCAGGGAGCTGGCTGAGCATTGTGAGCCAGTGTGATGATGGTCCTTCTGCCCCCAGTCACCTTGGGCTTGCCTCTGACAGCTCATTACAGCTAGTCTTTGATCACTTGCCTCTCCCCCTCTCTGTACTTGGAAATGCTGGAGAGCTTTCGTGACTGATATTATCAAAAAGGACGTTTTTATTTCCAAAATATACAGTGTAATTAGAACTGCAAAGGAAGAGAGCAGCCAGTCCATAAAAACACCCGCTCTGCGACAGTCTCTGTCCTGACCCTGTGGGAACTGGCAACAAAAGACTGCTGGGTTTGGGGGAGAACAGTTTCCCAATTAATGGGAGCACCCCTCAGGTCCCAGCCAAAAAGAGCTCTTCCACTGCATGGGAAGGCTTTGCTGTGGAAATGCTCTCACTCACAGCCGAACATGTTATGCTGGAAGCATGGATTGAATAACTTCAACCAGCAACACAGAGACCCTCACCTAACCCATCAGCATGGAAATATGCCTTCTGATGAAGTGATTGAAAGCCCCACTGCCACACACAGCATTGCTAGCATATTTTCAGCTTTGTAGTGCCCTCTCCCACAGGCAGCTCCATCCTATAGGGTGCTGCTGGCCATGGGCAGGGGCTGCCTCACAGAGACCCAGCTCCTGTCCTTCCATTCTCTACAGCTGCCCCAGGAAACAGCTGACTTCTTAAAAATTGATGGGGTTCATTTCCTGCCTCTGTGCACTTAAAGCATCAGCTCTGCCACTACCAGCAACGTCCACATTAATTACTATCATACTGCAAGTACCTTTGTGTGCACTGCCTTGCCTGGAGAGTCTGTCCCAGCAGTGACCTGTGTTTTGCTCCCCTCAAGACCTTGCCCATGGCTGAGGTTTCCAGAGCTGCTACATGTGCAGCTACAAAGCTGGGATTGCCCCAGAGGAGGAGAGGCAGCAGGAAGGGTCTGCACACAGATCCTCTCTGATCCAGGCTCAGAGGTTCACCTGGTGCCTGGGATTTTCCTTCTCTCCTCCCTGTGTCCTATTGAGCAGCAACACCCCAAGACTGTGTGGAGTCCCCACACTGAGTGCCCTCAGCTCTGAGCCCCAGGGTGCAACCTTCAGCATTCCACCACCGAGTCCCTCCAAACAGAAATTTTCAGTTTCCAAGGAAAAAAAAAATCTGGTCATGGAAAAACACCCAGCTCACTCAAACAGAGTTGGGGCCAGGCCATGCTGCTATTCAGTGCCCTGTGGACTGCAGAAAATTATAAATTCTTTTCTTTTTTTTTTTGCATAAAATTACGATTATCCAGTGTTTAACACAAGCATGTCTTAGACCGTGAAATGAGTTGCATGAGAGAGATAAAGCAAAAGAAAGTAAGAGGAAGCAGGAGCCAGCAACTGCAAAGATCATTGGAAAAGCCTGTTCAGCATGGACCAAAGGGCTCCAACCCAGGTATCGTGTAGAGCCTCATCAAGGCCTGACCAAGGGTGTCCTTTGAATACATGAACCTACCAAAATGAGGATCTGGAGGAGACTGACGAGCACTGGAGAACGCATCCAGAATACTTCATCACTGCCTTTTCCTATTCACCTAAGAATCCCAAAAGGCCTGCAGGCAATTGGTAACAGTTCCTCAGAAAAAGGTCTAGGAATTATAGCAGGTCATGAGCTGAACGTGGGCTATCAGTATTGCAACAAGTGGCACGGTGCCCTGGGAGATGTGTGCAGCAGCATGACCTATCCAGGCTCACCACATCATCTCTCTTGCTTGTTCAGTGCTGGTGAGGTCTACACTGGAGCAAATTCTGGTATCGGCAGCTCGTGTCAAAAGGGAGGCAGCAACACTGCAGTCAGCATGCAGGGAACAGTGAGAATGATCAGAGGTCTACAAGACATGACCTACAAAGAAAGATTGAAAGAACTGGGTTATTTAGCCTAAAAGAGATGATGGGAGAAGAGATGTGATAACAGTCTTCAAGTGCTTAAAAGGCTGCTGCCAAGGGGAAGAGAATAATCTGTTCTTTATGTCCATGGTGGACAGGACAAGAAATAATCGGCTTAAATTACAGCAAGAGAAATCAGGTTAGACACCGGGACAAAACCGGCGAGGCTGAAGCTGGGCAGAGAATGACAGCAGTGCTCTTGGAGGCGGAGGGGTTCTGTTGGGTTGGGATCGCTGTGGGGAGAGGCTGATGTGCTTCCACATCCCTGCAATGCCTCTGACACGAGGTTTGGTGGTGCTGCATTTCCCAGAGCAAGGTCATGCTGCAGCCATTGCTGCTGGGGGGATGAATCCCAGCCACTTTGTCTTGTGAGAACTTCCAAGACAGTAAAACGTGATTTTGTGGCAAACTGAGAGCACAAGTCAACATTTTCGGTTATTTTTCTTGCAGTGAAAAAATACTTGAAAATGGATTATTTTTTTTTCTCCCATCTATTTTGGCCATCCTATTGCAACACAAACAGAGCAGAGTGCCCCAGCCATGCCCCATGGGCAAGCCAAAATGACATAGTCCAAACGAAACCTGTGTGATAACATCCTTGCTGAAAACATCGGTGAACTCAATCTCTTCCCTTCCAAACAATTAGATGGAGTTGAAATACCATTTTCTGAGTGAGGAGATTGCCCTGAGATGTTTTCCAACTGGCTCAGAGGGTTCTTGCTACCTGAGAGGCAAAAAGAAAAGGAAAGGCACGCGCATGTCCAAGAGCAGCACTGCTTCTGCTGGCAGCGCGGTGCTGCTGAGTGCGCACCGCTGGCCGAAGATTGAGAGATGCTGTGTTCTCAGGAGAGATGATTATTACCAATGGATTCCAAGAGCAATCTTTTATTTTAAAACCTGCCTCCTAATTCATTTTATATTTACCCATAAAATGTTGGCCAAGGTTTCTGAGAGCTGCGGTCTTTTGGAAAGGCCAAGTCTCCAGCCGAGCTGACTCAGCAGAAGCTCTCCTGATCGAAGCAGTGCCTGTGTGAGTTCATTCCACCCCTGGGCAGGGATGGAAACAGAGGAGCTGGGCTCTCCCTGGCTTTGTTTTCTGCAAGGACCAAAGCTTGCTGCTGGCCTGCAGGGCTGGGAAGGGGACTGACAAAGTGCATAATTCTCCCTGCTTGTTTCCCTCCTGCTGTGCGTCCCAACTTTTGTTCACTTGCAGTTTAGTACATCTGAGATGAGAATCAAAAGAAAGAAGAAAAAAGAAGAAAGAAAAAAAAAAAAAAAAGATGAAATCCCTGTAAGTAATTAGTTTTCAGCCCTTCTGCCCAGCATCAAGGAAGGATGCAGAAAATACCCAGCTTATTAAAACATCCCCCTGCTTCCACCCAGGATGCTCTGGGACAGGCGTGCCTTGCCTAGGGACAGGTATCCCAGCTCCTTCCCACGCCACAGTGGGAGCACACTGGGACTTGGACTAATTCTAACATAGCCCCTGGTGCCAAGCCAGTTTCTGCCTTCCTTTTCCCATGTTGCTGATTGCCCTAGTTGTTCCCCTGGCTCCTGGGCGCAATGGTAATGCCTCCCCTATCCATATTTGTGAGGCAGTGGTGTCCTAAGCAGCTCATCCTTGGGAGATAAGGTCTCCTCTGCAGAGCCTGGTCTTCATCCTACTGCTATTGTGGGCCCTCCTCATCCAAGGGCGCTGGGAAGAGAAGAATTTGATACTGCAGACTGCAGTGGACTCCTATCCCAGGTGGACCAAACCTCCTTTGCTTCAAGGAAAAATTCATGTTAGGATGAAGGGAAAATCAGAAGGAAGCTGAAAGTTGCCCATTTCATACGTTGGAGAGGAGCTGCTTCTGATATCTCTTACGAGGCATTTGAGTGGTGGCCAGGCTATGAAATAAAGCCAAGGCCATTTGGATTGACAGCTCATTCCACACACAAGCAAAGCCCAGAAGACTATCCAGAGCTTCACAAAAACAATGGGCTAATAGATAAGTACATAACGAAAACCTAGTGAGAACACCAGTATCTCCTAAGTTCAGCTTCATTCAGAAAGCCAAGAATATGGAACTGAGTCAGTTTGTGTCCGATGGCCATAATGAACATGCCACAGGAGATGCCCGGAAGGAATAATACCATAAATTGGCAAGGTTGCAGCTGCATTCATCTGCGCAAACAAGAGCTGGTCATCCAGAATCCAGCAGTATCAAATAGTAGTACATCAGTTCCAATGTTATTATTTCTACCTTCAAGTATGGGTGGGAACGCTCAGAATCTGACGGCAGCCCCAGCAGGTGTGTCAGTACTGTGAGAGCCAATGCTGGAAGGCCATCCAGGGGTATGAAGCAGAGTTAATTTATTCTAGCTGATGCTGAGGATCATCAGGGGATTCAAACCACCATCACCACTACCACCACCTAGTCCTCTGGAGAAGGCTGTATGTGTCTGGGACGTGCATCAGTAATGACCCATACTAGCTGGAGTCTGCAGCCACAAACCTGTGTTTTGAGCAGCCTACACCTGGCTCAGGAGTGGCTTGCATTGATTTGGGAGCTCTGGTCTCCTTTCTCGAGGGGCTTAAGGATGGGTGCAGGGTGAGGACCTTCTCCCCAGGTTGTTTGCAGGGGAATCAGGGTGATTGGAAGCCAGTGGGCCTCTGAGCATTGCACAGCGTTATTCATGTAGCAGCTAATGGAGCTTACTCAATCCATAAAGATTTTTAGTCAGGAGTTTGATGTTAATTATGGACCAAAACATTTAATAGCCCGTTACACTTCCACGAGGCATTTTTTTAATTAAAAAATGATATATTGCAGAAAAGGGGAAAAAAACAGAGGGGAATAATTGAAGATTGTTTTATTCTGGAATGACCCGAGGCAGGGAAGGCAACAAGGAGTCAGCGTGTCGGAAAACGTGATGGCAGTGGCATAGACCTGGCAGCATGGGAAGAGTGGAGCAAGGTGGGAGCAGCTGAACCTCTGGGAGAAGGGAGAAGGAGCCCTGGGGCAGGTGGGTGGGTGAACAATGAGGGGGTCTGTGCTCTGTGCTGAGCTGCCCGACCTCTTGAATCATTTGTCTGTGCTGCAGAAGACCTTGGTTCAAACCCTTCTTTCTGCATCTCTATCAGCTGTCTCTCAGGAAAAACAGCTAAACCCCCAGGGTGGAAATTAGCCTGGAATATGTCAGGGTTGAAGAAAATCTGACATGTCTCGCTCTGACGCTACTCCATTTTTCATTCAACGTTTAAAGATAGGTTGGAGCAGAGGCTGGCTTCGGATGCATTCAGATGGGCTGTGCAAAATGGAAGGGCTTCAGTAGAGCAAGCCAGCATGTCCCATGCCCACCCTGCCCCAAACGGTGCCCACTGGCCGATGAAGGTGAGCCTCCATCTGGGAAGCTGCTATCCAGCTAACTCAAGAAGGGAGGAGAAGAAATGGGATGGAAGCATGTCCTGGGGGTGCCCAGGAAAAGTTAGGATGGCTGCTGATCATTGGAAGGAGCCAGACTATGATCCCCACGCTTGCCCAAGTCCTCCCATGACTCCAGCATGGGAGCACTGTTGCTAGCTTCCCTCAACTCTACAATGGAAATAATATTATTCCCTCCTTACAAGGCTTTGAGATGCTCAGTTACTATGGTGATGGGGCCATAAAAGTACCAAAGATAGCAAGAACAATAATAATATCAGACATGGTAAGAGCCAAATAATTGCATTTAGGGCACGCACACAACACAGAAGTGAGAGCCACCTCCACGCACCACAGCGCTCGGGCTCTGAAGACAACTTGTTACACCAACAGGCTCACAGCCTATTTAAGAGCTAATTTCCAATCCCTGCGCCGTCCGCCCAAGGGCGAGGAGCAGCCACAGCTCTGTGCCCACTCCCAGCTCTCCCCTGCAGCAGCCACAAAGCAGGGAGCGGTGGGATGAGGGTCCCTTGCCAAGGCCAACATCAGCACACCAGCACTGTCACACCACGTCCCCGCAGATGTGCGGCCGTCACTCTGTTTGACCAGCTGAGCGTTTCCCCCAGCACAATGCTGCTGGCGGTTTGGCTCCTTTTTCTCTGCTGCTTTGTCTCTTGCCTCGTTTTTTTTTCTTTTCTTATTTTTTCTTTTGAAATGTATGGGGTTTTAATTGAAAAAAAAAAATGTATAGCATCTGTGGCTGCTTAATAACACCTGTGTGTGGCAAGGCAGCTTTTCAGCAGCTATTGTCACAGCGTTCTCATCTGTGCAGTGCTGAGCTGCTGCTGCATGACCCCCTCGGAACTGCTCAAGCAGGAGCCATCCTCGGAGGGCACGTAATTAACAGGTGATGCAAAACAATATGCTGTTAAAAAAATATGAGCGACAAGCCTTCTAACTAGGGGGATGCTCAGGGATGCGCAGGCGATGAGTTTGCCATGCCTCTATGGGAGTGGTGCCTGCAGGCATCCGAGGGGCAGTGCATTTCAGCTTTTGTGTCAGCTCTGCATCTCAATCCTTGGTGGGCACCCACCTCCTTTGGACCTGAGAAGCTCAGGTGGGGCCCAAATCCATCTCCCCATTGGGTGAATGAATGAAGTCCTGTTCCCAGATGGTGGAGCGGTTTGGCCAGGGAATAGAAGAGCAGCACAGCAAACATCTCCATGTCCAGCCCCGTGTGATGCAACTCTGCACACTCTGCAACAATGCCCATGTAGCCCTGGGCATTTATGCAGAACCCTCCGGGCACTTCCCCTCAGCTCAGCCAATGCATCCAGGCTTTGAATTTCCCTCATCTCTCAGAATACATTAAAAAAATCAATATAATTACACAGCAAACATTAATTATGATCAAAAATGCAGCTGAGAGGGATTGATCTGGAGGAGCTCGCTAGGCTGTAGCTAGCCACAGAACTGCCGAAAAATCAGCTCAACGAGGCTGAGGCCATGGGGATGTCTGAACAGCAAGGCGTCCTCGGAGACACCTGGATTGTGGTTTCTGCCCCTGGTTTCTCTTATGGCAGGCACAGGGATGGGTGAGCTCCATGGGGATGGAGCAGCTTCCTGGTCACCACAGCCACGTCAGTGAGGTGAGTGGTGCAGAGCCTTCTCAGATGTTGCCATAAAGCATATGGACAACTCTGCCTGGCAATTTGCTCAACAGTAAAGCTATCTTCGTCTCCAACTTCTTCCCTTAGACCCCAGTAGGTTCTTGGAGCTCTCCAGGGATGAGGCTCCCCTGCACCCTGCGCTGTCTTTTGGCCATCCTGATTCTTAAGAAGCTTTTCCTGAGCGTCTCACTCAACTTGGCTGCACTTCAAGCCTATTACAGCTTGTCCAACCAGCCACCGATTGATCACCATCATCTTTACAACTGCCCTTTCCATTCTGGATGAATGTTACACACTGTCTCGCTCTCAGTCTCTGTCCTGGAGCACAAACCCAGCTCCTTCAGTCCATCTTCCCGGAGCATGTTTTTCCAAACACTCGGAACTCTCTCAATTTGTCTGAATTTCTCTGAAAGTTGTGATGTCCAAACCTGGAGATATGTATCTCCTGCTGTTGCCTTACCAGCACTGAATAGAGCCAAATAAATTACCTTGCTGTCTTCCATCTGAAGCTATTAATACATCTCCAGGCAAGATGTGCCTTTTCTTTCCTTTCCTAAAGCACCAGGTTATTGTCTGCTGCTCAGTTTGAGGGCTACTCTGCTGCCTGAGCCTTGGCTGCTCTCCTGCTGGCATACCAGTTCTTCCCCATCTTACATCTGCGATTTTGATATCGCCTTCCTAAGTGAAGCACTTTGCACTTGACTTTATTGAATTTCAGTGTATTGATTTCAAGCCATTTCTTCAATTTATCAAAATCATTTTGCTCTGAGGAATCTTGCAGCAGCTTGTCTTGCATCTGCTCTGTTGACAAAAGGTCTTTAGTCCTCAAGGCTATCAAGCCAAGACTGCATAGTAGTCCTTAAAATAGCCAGAAAGTACCATTTGAGAGGCATGGGGACAACAGAAAATAGAGGTTTTAGGCTGGTTTGCACAGAAATGGCCACACTGGGTGCAGAAACAGCAGGAGGAGATGGGGTGAAGCACTGCGAGCACTGTGGGAACACTATGGGTCCTGGGGTGAGAGGAGGGCTGCGAGATGCTGGGACCCTGCTGCTGGCCTGGGGACAGCCCTGGATGGAGTGGGGGTGGTGGGGTTTAATGGCTCCCCTTTCTTTTCAGGCCTGTGTGTGATGAGCTGCCCCATTGCCCCCTTGGGGCTTGCATGGGGACATCCTGCAGCACCAGATGTTAATGGCACTGCGTGGGGACAGCAAAACCTGGACTAAGAGAATGGAGTCCATCAGCCAGGTGAGAGGTTTTTGTTATTGCTCCATTCTATAAGGCAGGGGAAGGCACCTGGAAGCAGATGCTTGTCCTTTGGAGGAGGGAGCAGCTCTTGGCCCTTCTGCTTGGGCACACTGCAGGACCCCAAGGTTTTGGGGATACACCCACACCCAGCACCCATCCTGCGTTCTTCCCTCTGCTTCTCCCACCTTCCCCTGCAGCCTCCTCCTGCCCAGCATGGCAGGCTGCTGCTCAGACAACCATTACCCAGGTAGCAGGAGGAATTTCCTAGAAAACGGTACAGAAAAGCACCTCCTGCAGAGCTGCCTCCTAATAAGTCCCTGTTCTTCCACAGGCGGAAGGCGAAGCGGCCGAGCTTCAGCTGCACACACAGCAGGAGGGATGGGGAACGCGCCGGGAGCGAGATGCAAACAGACCCAGGGAGGGGGAAAGCAGAGGCGTCGTGGAAGGGCTGGAAGACAAAATGGTTTCCTTGGGAAAAGGCTGGCAAGCCTCAGCTGGAAAGGGACAGCAAGGGAGAGATGAGAGAGCTGCTCCGGGTTGTGGAGAGAAGAGGAGCATGGTTTGGGTAAAGCTGAGCTCACCCTGGCCCTTGACATGGTAATGATGCAGACACAGACGTGTGATAAGCCCTGCTCTGCACACACTTTAAAATCTAAGTAGCTTATGAATAAGTAATAATCCCTATTCCCAGTGCCATAATCTATATTTAATTAAGAAAATAACTAAATGGCGGGAGTAAAAGGGGCTGTGTGGGGAAACGGTGGCAGAGGCACTATGAGATAAGCTCTGGTGGGAACAGGGACAAAAGGCAAACGCAGCATGGTCATGGTGGCATGGTGGGGCTGCTGGGCTGGGCACAGGGTGACCTGCAGGAGGAGGTCTGCCCCAGCGACTGCCAGGGTCAGCACTGAGCTGAATGCTGGGCAGCTGCATTGTTGGTGTGCTGTGTGTCTTTGTGTTCCCTCCGGCTCGATGCTGGTGCTGATGGTGGGCTGCATGGAAAGTGATGTTCCAGCGTGCCCAAGCACTGTTTGACAGCACCCAAATCACAGCCTTTGATACTGTTACAACATGCTGCTTAGTGCCTGTGATAAAGCATTCTTGGCAGGATGCTCCAAATGTCTTGCACTGACACAGGAAAGCAAGCCCTGCCAGAATAACCCGTGCTGAGATGGGAAGAGAGCATTCTAGGTGATGCCAAGGGCAGCTCTGATCAACCTCCACTTTGGACAAGAGCAGAGTGTGGTGCCAAAGGTACCTCCATCCAGGGACTCTGCAGGGCCCTTTCACCACTAAACAAAGCTCTTCATAGCTAAAGCCCCACACCTTTCCCACCCAGCATGTTGCACCAAGGCTGCAAGGTGTGGCTGCAGCCTTGCTCACTTAGCTGTGCTTCTTATTTCCCTAGTGGGGATCTGCAGTCACCTCCGCTCCTTTTGGTTGTCAATAGTGAAACTGAGTGCACACCTTCAGGGCTCGGTCAAAGAAAAAAAAAAAAAAAAAACAATCTCAATCCACATGCTATACTTTATAAATAGGCCA